CATCACAGTATGGTGAGGGGCGTAACATTTCCGTCTCATGCTTGAGGAATTCGGCCAATCACAACGCACTGGATAGCTGGCCAATCACAACACACCTCGCTTTTTCAAACCGATGAGCTTTGTAAAAATCGACGCGTTTCAAAAAGGCGGGGCATAGAGGAGAAACAATAATGTACAGTATGTGGAAAATAATGTGTTTTTTTAACTTTAAACCGCATAAACACATTTCATTACACCAAATACACAAAATAATGTTCTTTTTAGCAGCATCATATGACACCTTTAAAGTCTCTTAGTTGAATCGGGTGTGTTAGATTAGGGAGACAGTTTGTTTTCCAAACTGTTTCCAGGACAGTTTGGAAAACCACTGCATTTCAGAGACATGTTCTTAAATGTGACTCATGTAACAAATACATGCATGCACAGTTTTAAGGCAGCTTTAATTGCCTTTTTGGTAACTTCATGACTTAACTGACGACATAACTACTACGACATTGCATTGTACACATTGCGCACTAAGCCTATTTACTGTATTATTTTAAGTTCCTACAGAGGGAGAGATACCTGGAAGGCCTGTTTGTATTGCACCCATAAAACACTACAATTTCTTATATTTTATATTTACATTTAATTAATTATTCATGAGGAGATGAGTCTTACCTTCCAGGCAGTCTAAAAAGAGTGCATGTGATGGTTTTGTTCTCTGTTTTAGGAACCACATTAACTGCCTAAGTTTACTTTCAGTTTTGAAATACCTACTTTTCAATAGTTTCAATAGTTTAATAGTCAGAACAGAAAGGAACAGTAAGTTGTAAAACTATTAAACAATCAGGACTGACAACTATAATATTTTCTTAATACAAATTTATTAATTTAGGTGTTGGCAGGTTTGACAGAATAAAAGAAAGATAAACAAAAAAAAGAAGATAAACAAGCTACAATTATAATGCTGAAGTAAACATGCTACAATATTCTCAGCATGCATGGTAGACCGGGGTATTGTCACAAGAACAATACTTCATTAATATGTAATACCTGGAGTGTAATTGTAGTCCAAAAAGCAATAGTTCAAAATGATTTCAAATAATTCATGTGTGTCTACAGAGAAAAATTACTAATAGGTATTAACAAACAACCCTACTCTGTTAAAGGGGTCCTATTACGCTTTTTCACTTTTTCAGCTTTAGTTAGTCTGTAATGTTGCTGTTTGAGCATAAAAAAGATCTGCAAAGTTACAAAGCTCAAAGTCCAATTCAAAAGGAGATATTTTATTTAACAGAAATCACTTTTCAAAAACTACAACGATCGACTCTTTGGACTACAACGCATATTTTCTGGGATTTGTGATATCACAAATATCGACGAATGGGACGAGACCTGGTTGAGCTGCACTAGAGAAGGCAACGAGTGTTTTCACTATGTCGGAGACACGCTAGTTTCCCAAGGCAGACGTAGTGCGGTTACAATCATCCGGGGTTAAATCGCGCTCAAATTGATTTTATTTTATTTGAAGATTTGAACAAAATCAAGACTTTGTAAAAGAGCATAATAGGACCCCTTTAAATATCGAGTCATAATAAATATGAATCACACAAGCAAAGACATTTTTTTTCTTTTGCAATAAACATCAAACAATACCCCAGACTTTTCTTTATCATAATCACACACCATTTCATTTCTGTCAAATATTGTAAGGTATACAACTTATTCATTGTCTGTCTGGTCCAGTACATAGTCACTGGCAAAGTTAACAATGTTTAATAATGCCTTTAAAATCAGAATATCCATTTTTGTATTGCCGGGGTCCTCATCATGGTAGTTCTTTACCGGGAAGATGCAATTTACAGGAACTCCCAGTCTCATAGAGCACTCATCCATCTGTGATTCCACAATAATGTGTATTGACATATTTATTTCAGCAAACAGGGCTAAAAATCTATATTTTTTCATACAGACTTACCTTCTCTTTTATTTTTTTGCTTGCGTAGACCTTCTCAAGGTTGCCTTTAACGAGTGGACACACTTCATCCACCTTGGTCATGATAATGACTTGAGGAATGCCTGTGGTAACAATAACTATTTATACTTTTATTTATATATAGTAAAATATTTTATTATGAGCATTATGAGAACGGTCTAAAGTGTATAAAACAAGCATGTATTATAAAGAGTTGTTTTTGTCTCAGAGTAGTCAATAGTTTTCGCTTCAGGCAGCAGACAGTGTTAAGTCTTTTTTATTGTTTACTAGGTGGGTTTTGCTCTCAGTACGTGACTGTCCATAAACTTTATTGTGAATTGTATCAGCAAAAACATCAGACTCATTATTTTATTATTTGCATAAACATAACTGCACCCATGGCAATGACAAAGGAACCTACTTTTAAGTATTTTTTTTCCCTTTGTGCCTAAAATACACTCCTTTTATTCTTTACAGTTCACTATATTTAATCACCCCAAAAATGAAAATATTTTATGTCTTTACATTTACATAAACACAAAAACATGATTGTTTTAAGAATCTCCACTCTACTCTTTTCTGTATGATGAAATAATAAAGGTATGCAATTCAGAATAATATATTCACTCCAGTAAAGATGTGTTCTACATGACTCACCCAAGTCTCTTGCTTTTTGACGAACTTTTCTCAGTTGGTCAATTACAATCTGTTCCATTAGAGATATGGAGTTAGCTGGAATAACAGCCACCAGACAGTGAATCCTGTCATTTAGACTTGGATTTTCATTATACTTTGGGTTTCCTTCAGAAATGGGATTTTCTGCATTACACTGAAGGGACAGAAGCACTAAATATATTACAAGAATATACAATATAATAGGTTTGTTATAAATTTGAACCATTTTACAGTTTTTTTTTCAATTGCTAACATCCTTTTGTCCAAGCTGTAGTCATATTTTCAAAACTCTAAACACAATTAGCACAACACAATTCGTGTTGTTTTCACATTATATGCAGTCAATTACCATGTTTCTAAAATGCTTAAATTTTCTTTTCATACAAGTTTACCCAAAATCAAAATCATGGATCATTTCAGTCTTATTTACAAATGCTTAAACACAGCATGTCAGAAATGAAGACCTAATGTTCCAAACTTTAAATGTAGTATAAAGCTTCTACTTCTGCAACAACAGCAGCTCAAAAGTATTGAAAAATATCTCTATAGTATATAAAATATTGTAACAACTGATAAGCACTTTTAAGTAACAGATCACTGCAATATTTAGAAATAGCTGATTCCAGTCTCAGTTGGAGGAATAGTCAGGTGTTGAAGCTCTTTCCATTACATCAACAACATAGAGTAAAAAGGCCTCTTTAAATGTTTTTTTTTTATGCAGAACAACACAGAATCAGAGAGAGGAAATATTTTGACCTCCATTTTTTTAAAGATTATGTGTTGTGCTATTTTGTGTTGTGTATTAACTTACTATGTATCCATTTTTGACATGGCCCAGTAATATTTTGGGAATGTCTTTGGGATGCACACCATTTCCTTCTTCTATTTCCATTCCCCTGATGTCAGTAAATGTGAAAGGAAAGTAAGAGCCTGCTTTCTTTCTCAGGTTAAACTGTTTGCACTGGAAACAAAAAACAAACGTACACTTAAAGTGAAAGTGAAGTGACGTGTGGCCAAGTATGGTGTCCCATACTTAGAATTTGTGCTCTGCATTTAATCCATCCAAGTGCACACACACCCGGAGCAGTGGGCAGCCAATGCTGCAGCACCCGGGGAGCAAGCCTTGCTCAAGGGTCTCACCTCAGTCATGGTATTGAAGGTGGAGAGAGCGCTGGATATTCACTCCCCCCACCGACAATTCTTGCCGGACATGAGACTCGAACCCACAACCTTCAGGTTACAAGTGCAACTCTCTATCCAGTAGACCACGACTGCTTACATACTGTATTTCTTAAAGTTTTTCAGATAACTGGCCTCTATTTGAACCAGAATTTGTTGTTCTTGAATCATTCAGCCTTTTGAACAAATGAATGATTCAGTGGCTCTCTTGCAAAGATTGTCACTTTTTTAGTTCCTGAATCAATCAGTGTTCAATTCATTTCATCCAAAAATAGTTGCTTGTCACACCTATTGGTTTACTGATGTAACCTGCAAGCCCCAGTGCTGTTGGAATAAATAACATTCTATGACCCAAACTCTTTTCTATATATGAAATGCTTTTACCTCCATAGTGAAACTTTTACCACTTAATGAATCTGCCAGGGCTCTGGTGGTGATGCGGTCCTGGAGAACATTATCCATAGAGTTGAAGAAGCTGGATTTTCCAGCACCTACTGGTCCATGCAGAAGCATTCTGAGAGTATTGACCTCTGTGCTCCCAGTTTTGAAATTGTTTAGAGTTCTCAAAAGTTGTTGCTTCTCAGCTTCACTATAAATTAGTTAAGGAAAAAAAGTCACCAAAGGGAAAGATGGAAGATACAATCTGAGCTATAAATTGCATTTGCCCAGTATTTATTGCTAGAGTGTGTGAAATACTGGAAATCAATGGGCTCATAACTCACGTCCAGATGACTGTCCTCCATGGTTTATCCAACTCTGTTTAACCATAGATTAATTTTAGAAAGCGTAGAAACACTTTTTGATGTTGTTTTCTATTTTTTCCTTAAATTTACACGAGTCATCTTTTTTTCTTTTTCTTTTTTTGCAAGTCCTTAGGCAACACTGCTTTTCGTGAATTGTCATTTAGATGTTGATATTCACTCACTTCTACTAGCTAAATGAGTGGATAAAATTAAACTTTGAATATGATGGCTTAAGTTCAGCTATTTGTTTTTAAATTAATAGCATGCGTCAACCACACATTTTAATTCAATCACAACTTGACATTTTAAATCTATTTCTGAAATATGTAAATATATATGGATTTAAATTATTTTCCAGCATGAAATGTAATTTCAATTCCTTTTATATATTGACAATTTCTGTCATAATAATGAGAAAATGACATACCCTGAGATGGAGGGCGTAGTTTTCGAAGAAAAAATGCCATCCTAGTAATGTTTGGTACTACTAAAATTAAGAATTAGGATACACAATCTCCTCAAATTAACAATAAAAGATGGAAATGTCAAATACTTAAATGCCAAATATATATATCAATTAGTCAAATATTTGTCAAATGTCAAATATTTAAATTCATACATCAGTTTAATCAGTCATCTTTATCACACAAAATTGAATGAAAAATGGATTTCATTCAATATATCACAAAAAACATGAATAAAAAGCCAAAAAAGAAGAACGAATTTTAATTTTAAAAGTTAAAGTTTAATTTGACTTACTTGTTTTAGAAAACAGGAGTCTGTTTGTCTTTTACTGTGCTAGGTCAGTCCTGTCCTATACAGACTACATCAGTCTGAATCCGTGTGAGGACTTTGCTTTCTGTTTCTACAAAACATACCTTGTTTACATAATAACTGCATAAAGAAATATAAATAGATCTACTTGCAAATCAGTCTGAAATTTGTTTAAAATGTTTCCTCATACATTTCTCACTATAGTGACTAAATAGAGTAAATAATTTAAGTTTGATTTCATCTGCTCACTTCTCTGATGTTAATGCTCCAAGGAAATCCAACAGGAACAGGCTTTAACGATCTGGCACTGTAGATAGCCTATTTGAGGAAAAAGCTCAGTAATAAGGGTTCTCTGAGATGGTTAGAGCATATGTATTTTTTCCTACAGTATGCTAGAAAATTAAAAAAATTAATGAAAATGTTTACATTTGCAAAAAAATCTGATTACTAATGAAAATAATTCTTTAAACCCAAACATTCCTCCCAAATCAATTAAAAGTAGTCAACGTCAGTAAAACTGAATAGGGGAGAGTGGGGACGGTTGCAACGAGGGGCAATTGCAACATGGCTTATTTCTTCAATCAGGAATGAGCTACAGTGATGATATTCCTACTGCACATGCTCAATTAGCCCATCATTCTTCCTAGAAGAAATCAGCCACATGTGAACATTCCTTCTACAAAAAAAATCATTTTCATGGTAGAAAAGTCATTTTTTTATGATCAGATTTTTGTCATACTGTCTAAGCTCTTTGCATAAATCATTGTAAAGTCATATCACTTTAATCATTGTTTTCTGAGCTTAGGTGTATAGGCATAGCTAGTGTGTGTCAAATATATTGTGTTAAGCTACCAAGTTTTATGACAGTTGTCAGTGTAGGGACAGTTGCAACACTGTTGCAACCATCCCAACATGCTGTCCCTTACCTTATTGATGTAAAAGCTTGGCATAACATTACAAAATGTTTAATTTTATGGATTAATAAAGAACCCCTTTCAATAGTTGGGTATCTCTCATTTTTTAAGTAAATAGGTTAAAAATCAGTTAAAGTCTAAGGTGGACTAATTTCCTTCACTCTCACCCTCTCTTTGTACTGTTTCAACTGTCCTCTGTTGTGGGGTCAGTTGTAACATTTGACTTTGTCTATTCAAATAGCCTATAAATTGTACATATATTGTCATAAGCACACGTTACAGCAGTGTGGGTGAGTAGCTGACAGATGTGGCTTCAGAGTCAGCCCAAGGCATAAGCGAACCATGCGGCTCAATTCAACACATTAAGTATTCCACTTAGTACTGTAAGACTTTGAATTCAAATGAACATCTAACCACTCTTGTGAGTCTGCTACTGTTATAATTTAAAATCATAGAAGGGTAAAAACATTGGTATGAAGTAAACAACACAGCTATACAACAAATAAAATTATTATATTAAAATAATGGGTGTGTTGCAAATGATCAAGCATTGACAATAATCAGTCATATTGATGGCACCGAGGGGCCCCCAAATAAAATTCTGTTTAGGGCTCCATAAAGGCTTAGGCCGGCCCTGCTTGGCTTTATTGTATTAGAATTGTGGCTTTCCAATACAAACGGTCTCTGAAAAACTGAAGGAAATGCAAAAAGTGTTGCAACCATCCCCACTCTCCCAATAGTGTTACACTGCAAGGTTTCAGGAGTGACAAACACTGCAAAATGCTCAGCGATTCACAGTGATAACCACAGCGTTATGGTTTTGTATCTCGTGATGTAAATAAGAAACGTGGATGCCAGTAGTTTAACCAGTTTGGTTTTCCATCATTTTCAATCAAAGTAGCAACCAAAGAAAGGTACATTATATCCGGCAAGTTGCATAAACCGCCATTGATAGTGTCGTTGAATTCAGTTTGCTCTGTTGTGTATGGCCATTTCTGCTTATTTTAAATGTAACCTATTTGGACTTGCTTTTTTCAAACAGTCGTTTAAAAATGTTTTCCCCCCCTCTCTATGTTATTTCTGGAGTGCATTCCCGTATTTGGATTTATTTCGCTTATGTTGGCGAGGCATTAATGTGGCTTTGTTTCATCAGACTGTTGTTTTTGAGGTCTGGCAACACCCTCTTAACCCGTAATAAACGAAACTTTGCAAACATGTTTCAAGCTCACATAAAATCCCCGGTGTGTCTTGTAAAGATAATGGCAAAAATGCAAAATCATCATGACATTTTAAGTTTTAAATGTTGCAAATGTTGTAATATTTCCTCTTTTTCTCGCAGCTTCTGTACTATAAATGTACTCAATGAATGTATAGCTACTTTTTCAATAATTCGTCCATATAACTTACCCAGACTTAACTATATTTAAAAAAGAGATATAATTTTCATATTTTTTACTGCTGGAGAATGTGGAGAAATTTAGTTCTAACACACTAAATTTCTTCAATCACTCTGAACTCTGAGAGTGATGAGACTTACTCATATGCAAAAATGTAAAAGCTATTATATTTCTACTATTATCTAAAAGTTTAATGCCTTTGAATTCAAATTAATATCCATGTTTTCTGGGCTGTTTTGGTTACTACCATACAAAACAGAGGCTGTGAGATCCTGAGTCAGCTGTAGCACTCATTATTAATATGAATATTTTAATCTTTAAAATGCACAATATTATTAAAAATTATTTAGTTAAAATATCTAGTTGATTAGAAATGAGCTATATTTATGACATATTTCAGTACAAAATGATATTTTCAAATAATTATGTTGCACATTCTCTTTTCACATCACATTTCAGCAGGTAAGATGGAAGCAAACAGACCTCACTGTTTTATTTGCCATTAAATTGGTGACCATCTTGTAAAATATGATATCTGATCAGATAAATTGGTATTTACGTCTGTTAAAATGCAATCCTACACTGTAAAAAAAATTCTGTATAGAAGGTGCACCGAGTCATTCATGCAAACACAAAACACCATCATGGTAACACACATGATACTTAAATAATGCATTAAACTTTCATTAAACAACAGAAAATGTAACATAAAGCCCAAATATACGTAATTAATAACAAAAACTATTTAAAAAACATGATTATTTAAACAAAATACTTTCAAATGTGGAGTGTCATGCAGGGAATTCTGGGAATATCAGTTTACAGTTTTTGACTGTAAATTATACATTGATTTGTTATTTTTACTTCTAAAAACTGTAAAATTAACAGCATTTTACTGTAAAATTACATGAAATATGATATTTAGATTTTTACAGTTTTTCCCTGTATATAGTACGGGAACTTACTGTTAACCTATTAACAGTTTTTTTCCGTAGCGTTTTAAAAAAATTTTACAGTTAAAATTACACTTATTTTTTACAGTGTACAGCTTCAGTTAGTCACATTTCAGTTAGTCACGCTTTTAATTCAAATAGCTAACTAAGAATATTGCACTGAAATTCAAATGCAACACAATGTAACAACATAAATGAGGATGTTCAGGATCGGGTCTTGTTTACCAAATAAGGACTGATAGATTAACAGAAGTTTTCATTGGTGTTGAACCAGCTTTTGTGACTGAGCAACTGGGTATAAATGAAGCTGATTTCACAAGCAATGATCAGAGAAATACACCACGGGGTATTACAGCTTGCTTAGTAGAATTTCGATTCACTTGGTATGACATTTTTCTACTGTATTTCCATTCTTAGTGTTTTAAAACTTGTTAATGCATATATTCATTACATTATTTATAATAATGTTGATATTAATAGGACTTTGTCAGCATGTGGATTTCTGCAGCATTCCTTCTTTTTGCATTGGCTGTAAATGGAGACAAGTCTGAAGGTAAATGAACAAAATAGACTGAATTCCTCTACTTTTTGCATCTCTTTAAACTGCAGATGATGATGAGGTTTGCAGTTTCTGCTTTCTTTGATGAACGTTCTTACATTCTTTTCATCAATCAGTAAGAAATAATACATTGTTTTAATTCATCTTTTTTGCAGATTCTTTCAGCATTGGTCGAAGATGCCCCACTGGCTGGGAGAAATTTGGAACAAAATGTTTTAAATTTTTCAGTGACTTGAAACCATGGGCTGAGGCAGAAGTAAGTTTGTGTTCTCTATAGATGCTACCCCAAATTGTGTAATTAATCATACCGTACTTAAACGTGCATTTTACACTATTGTAAAGCTAAAAAATATAGACAGGTTCAAGTTCTAAAGGAAAAAAAAGACAGTGTGTTCATGTTCATAATTGAGTTCTACAAAAATTGTTTAGTTTTTACATGGTCAAGGGTGCTTTGTTTTGTAAAGTTGTCAAGTGTTTAATGATCAAACAAAATCCTGTCTGTTTGTTATGCCATGCATTTTTCAAAGATTATGAAAAACTTTTTACGCTCCACTTTATTTTCAAGAATTTTAGCCTTTTTTTTCAGACTTCATTACGAATTAATTGCATTGCACCTAAATAACTCTTTATCCTGACAGAAACAATGTGTTGACCTCGGAGGAAACCTTGCATCTATCCACAATCAACTCACTCACAATTTCCTAAAGACCTTTCTGAAAAAATATGTTAATGGAATCCCCCGAACCTGGATTGGTGCTCATGATGCAACTAAGGTAACTGATTTTTAATTTCCATTAAATATCAATACAACCAGTGTCAGATTAATGTAAAACAAAGTATAATTGAAAATGAACAGTAAATGTTGTTGAAAGTAAAAATAGTTGTCTTTTGTCAGATATATTGCTTGTGCTCTTTCACATTTTGTAAAAGCTGGTTTGCACTGCCCCAACAAACACCAGTAGAAGTTTCACACTGTTTATTTAAACATACCAGAGTTCCCATTTAAGATAAAAAGGAAAATAAAATGAGAAGCATCAACAGGTGGAAACAGCAACACGTTCAGTAATGCTAATGTAATGTTCTTAGGTTTATGTCTGGTTTTGGAGCGATGGATCAAAGTTTGAGTACAGTGACTGGCATACTGGTGAGCCAAATGGAGAAGGAAATGAA